CCGGCACCGACGCCGGCCTCCACGCCGGCCTCTTCGCCGGCCGCCTCGCCGGCCGCCTCGCCGGCCCCGGCCCCAGTGGCCCCGTCCGGTCCTGTCACCCGTGCTCGCGCCGGCATTCACTGCCCGAGCCTCCGTTACTCGCGTGACGAGTACGTCCTCGCCGCCTCTGCCGCGGAGCCGTCACCCATTCCTGCGTCCGCCCGCGCCGCCCTCCGTGATCCTCACTGGCTTGCGGCGATGCAGGAAGAGTTCGACGCTCTCCAACGGAACCGCACCTGGACTCTGGTTCCCCGGCCTCCTCGCGCCAACGTCATCACCGGCAAGTGGGTCTTCCGTCATAAGACCCGCTCAGACGGTTCACTTGAGCGCTACAAGGCTCGCTGGGTGGTCCGCGGTTTCCGCCAGCGCGCTGGAGTTGATTTCACGGAGACGTTCGCCCCGGTTGTCAAACCGGGCACGATCCGCACTGTCCTCCAGCTCGCCGTTTCTCGCGGCTGGCCCGTTCACCAGATGGATGTCTCCAACGCCTTCCTTCACGGCCATCTTGAGGAGCAGGTGTTTTGTGAGCAACCCACCGGTTTCGTCGACGCCTCATTCCCCGGCCATGTGTGCCTGCTGTCGCGCTCTCTTTACGGGCTCAAGCAGGCACCCCGCGCCTGGTACCAGCGGATCGCCGGGTTTCTTCAGACACTGGGCTTCAGCGTCACTCGCTCGGACGCCTCACTGTTTGTCTATCGCCACGGTGACACGACTGCATATTTGCTGCTTTACGTCGACGACATCATCCTGACAGCCTCCTCCGCAGTCGTTCTTCAGCAGATTACTCTCCGGCTGCGTGACGAGTTCGCTATCAAGGACCTGGGTGCTCTCCATTATTTCCTTGGCATTGAGGTCGTTCGGCGTCCGGACGGTTTCTTTCTTCATCAAAAGAAGTATGCCCATGAGCTTCTTGAGCGCGCTGGCATGCTCAACTGCCATCCGGTTGCTACTCCTGTTGACACGAAGGCCAAGGTTTCTGCTCTTGCGGGTTCGCCTGCGTCGGATGCTCCGTTCTACTGGTCTATTGTCGGCGCCCTTCAGTACTTGACTCTCACCAGACCGGATCTTCAGTATGCTGTCCAGCAGGTGTGTCTCCACATGCACGCCCCTCGTGACTCTCACTGGACTCTCGTGAAGCGGATCCTTCGCTACATCCGCGGCACGATGTCCCTTGGGTTGACATCACGGCGTCCACTTCTCTGGAGATGGTGGCTTACTCCGATGCAGACTAGGCCGGCTGCCCCGACACTCGTCGGTCCACCTCTGGCTACTGCGTCTACCTCGGTCCTTCCCTCGTGTCGTGGTCGTCCAAGCGACAACCCACGGTTTCGCGCTCTAGCGCGGAGGCTGAGTACCGAGCTGTGGCCAACGCTGTTGCCGAGTGCACCTGGCTTCGACAGTTACTTCAGGAGCTACATCACGATGTCTCCCAGGCTACGGTTGTCTACTGCGACAACATCTCTGCGGTGTACCTCTCCGCCAACCCCGTTCATCATCGCCGGACGAAACACATCGAGCTGGACATTCACTTTGTGCGCGAGCAGGTGGCTCTTGGACGCATGCGGGTTCTCCATGTGCCAACTGCTCAGCAGTTCGCTGATGTGATGACGAAGGGACTGCCGACTTCCATCTTTGAGGAGTTTCGTTCCAGTCTCTGCGTCACTGGCGCCGCTTCGACTGCGGGGGGTGTTGAGTATATTGTGTACGTGTATATGTGTGTGTAGGGTCCACCTCCTGTTTTTCCTTGTATAGTTGAGGTTGTGGCCCACCTCTGTACTTATATATACGTGCCTGGTGCACCGATCAATACATCGCGATTGCACAGCCATAACTTGTCCTTCTACACCCGCCAAGGACGCCGCGCGCACCGCCGCCCTCGCCTCGCGCTGGCGCCACCTCTGGCGCTCGGCGCCCCTCGCTCTCGTCGACAGCCACCTGCTCCCGGGCGGCGGCGCGCGCGGGCAGCTCGTCATCGGCGCCCCCTCTCCCCGCGCCGTCACCGCCACGGTGTCCCGCGTCCTCGCGGGGCACCAGGGCCCCTTCCGCTGCGTCCACCTCACCCGCACCACCATGGAGGAGCACCGGGGCGAGATTGTGCGCTGGCTCGACATCCTCGCTGCCAAGGGGGTCCAAGACCTAGTCTTTGTCAACCGCCCCTGGCCGATAGACCTGCGCCTCCCCGCCACGCTCTTCAGCTGCGCTCCCCTCACCCGCCTCTACCTCGGCGTCTGGAGGCTCCCGGAGACCGCCGCCGTACCGCGCGGCGCCAGATTCCCCAATCTCAGGGAGCTCGGCCTGTGCTTGTATGCCATGGAGGACCGTGATCTGGCATCCATGCTTGAAAGATCCTCGTCTTGATGGCAAGCCATAGCGGAGTGCGCCTCCGCCTCGTCAGCCAGAGCATGCGGTGCGTTCAGCTGGGCTTCACCTACTTGGAGTACATCGACGTGGTGGATGCACCTCGCCTGGAGAGGATCTTCCAGTGGGAGATCACTACCCACAGCCTCTGCGCCAAGAAGCACTCTTCCAGGATCAAGATTGGACGTGCACCTAACCTGCGTATGCTGGGATACCTTCTGCCAGGAGAGCAAGATTTGGGGATTACCAACACCGTCATCGTGGTAGTACTACTACATCCTGCTAATTTAATTTGCTTGTGTAGCTGTGCTGTGTCAATTAATATTGCCAATGTATGATCTCAAATTCTCAATCCCTGGGATGCATTGCAGGCTGGGAGCAAGGAGAACATTGTCCCTAGTGTCCAGATTTTGGCCATAGAGTTGCACTTTGGTGTCCGGGGTGCTGTCAAGAAAGTATCTGGTTTTCTCAGAGGCTTCCCTAACCTGGACACGCTCCATGTCCAGGTAAAATTGGTTAGCTTAAGTACACTTGCTGGATTTGCAATTTTGCAATAATCTAGTATGGTCAGAACTATGAATCAAATCAATGATATAAGTTATAACCGCCTCCTACTGCTGCATGATAAGATACCTTGGTTATGTATGTTATGTACGCGCTGATTGATTTCATCTGCAGTCCGTCCGCGTATCTGAAAAGTCCACCGGCAAGGTCAATCTCAAGTTCTGGCAGGAGGGCGGCCCCATCAAATGTGTCGTGGAGGGCATGAAGAAGGTGTTCCACTTCTACGAGTTCCGAGGGTCAAAAAGCGAGGTTGCTTTCCTCAAGTTTATCGCGGAGAGAGGTCGTGTGCTGGAGCAGATGGTGGTTGTGGTGGCCATTGAGTGTTTCTCCTCAGGGGATAATGTGAATGCCAAGCTGAAGCCTCTGGCCAGTGCGAAATGGACGAGCAAAACTTGCAAACTACAGCTCTTCAAGACCCCGCTCACTGCTGGGGGAGGTCCTGCTTACAGCCACCCGCTAGCTTCTGATTTTGGATGTGCTGACCCTTTTGACCTCAAGTACTACGACAAAGCAGAAAGGATCTCTGTAAGTTAATTAGTAGCATCATGATGAGCCTCTTGTGTTGCAACAGTACAGGTACCTAGCTAGACTTTGTGTTGCATGACTACTCGACATGAATTTCTCCTGGCAAGCTGTGGCATGCTTTCTGCATGATGAGGTTGTTTGTACCAGAATTCTGGAATTCTTATGTGGCTGGATGCTGGTGGGAGTAACAGAATTAGTTAGTACCGAATTTTTAACTTTCGAAGTCGATCTGTTCGGTTGAAGGTATGTTTTATATTCAGCTTGGTTTTCGGTTTATCTTCCAAGTCAATTGTGAGCAGGGCTATCTAGCAGTACTCCAGTCAGTTAATAGCTAGTCCAACTGCAATTCCATTATGTTGTGCAGTTGTTAGCATGAAATAATTTGGTATGCATTAGATTGGGTTCAGCTCAAAATAGTATTAATTAATTACCACAATTATGGTCATCACTTTTTATTTTCACAAACTTTTTACATGTTCCTTTTGTAAAGTAGTATTACTGGTTACTGCAACTGGGCAGATATCTGCTTCAGAAAACAGGAACAACATCGAAGAAACATACTCCAATCCTGCTTCACATTCAACCAAATTTTCTTACTGAACACAAGCTCACTCATAAAATTACACAGCGGCTGTGGGCCTGGCCTGTTCCGTGGCCTACTGCCGCTCTACCACCCACGGCGAGGCCACCCGCTAAACAGTCTTGTTATTCCGCAGTCCCCTGAGACTACTTCTTGAAAGTTTCAGTTGATTTTTTCCTCATAGCCTGAGCATGACAGTGGGATTGCTGTTGTGATCTGTTCTCTGTTTGGGCCTGCTGTTGTGAGTATTTGATGGTTCCTCTGCTGTATTCCGCTGCGTGTTGTGACTGTATTGGTTTGAAATCACGTCCTGTTGCGCAATTTCCAACAAGTTCAATTTCAGGAAAGGGCATCCCCCTCGGCATCTATCTGAAATTAGTGAGATCGATCGGTGTGCTGTTATTGATTTAACTGAGGCCGCAGGATTGATGAATATTGTGTAGCCTGCCTGCCTGCATGCCTCCACTCCACTCCATAGCTTCAGTAGTGCTGATGCATTTGAATTCAGTTTTCTAAAACTACAGATGTACTGCTTGGTACTATCTTTTACACTATTTTGGGACGGAGGGAGTATCTCAGTAATAATCTTTTTTCTCTTTCTCTAGAGTAAGCACTAGCATCTCTTTTGCTTGTCCCCTGGAGTGTCCAGCTCATTTGTCCTACTAGATCACTGCAACACTAGGTCACTCCAAGTTTCGGGACGTCTCAGGTCAGCTGTGATGTCGACCGCTAGCAGTTCCGTTCCGGGACAGCAGGTGGGCTCTGGACTCTGGAAGACATCTGGTTACAACAGCAGTACTGATTACCAGCACTAGTGTCTGTGATCGTTGGTCTGGTAGTTCCCATCGGCAATCCCAGATAGGTGAAAATGGCATCGAACCGATCGAGCACTGAAAGATTTGAGCTAATTCAGGAGCCAGAGCTCCAGCAGTATTGATGGGTACTAGGACAGATTTCTGAAAATTATTTTTCAGACCAATGGAATCAGCATAGTCCATAAGGAGTTGCTTCTTTTTGCTAGCTTGGATAGGGCACGCTGGCATGGCAAGTATCAAGTCATCGGCGTACTATATCACTGGGTAATCTGGTGATCCTCGCACGGGGATGGGGAGTTCAATCAGGTTGGCGCGATGTGCTTTGTTGATAGCCGACTGGAGAAGATCTGCCGCAAGAACGAATCCCCCTGATGGACACCCTATCGGCAGATGAAAGCTGTCTGTCGGGCACGCTTCAACAGCATCGGCGACGTTCCAGAGTTGAAGATACACTCAATCCACCCAAGCCAGCGAGCGTCGACGCCCATGTTCTTTGTAATTTCCAGCATAGCAGAGTGTTCGATTGTGTCGAAGGATTTGGCAAAATCCAGCTTCAACAGAACGATTTCTCTTCCAGAGTTTTGGCATTGAAAGATGTACTCGAAGGCCCACGCAAGGCAATCTTGAATTGTGCGGTCGCGTAGGAAGCCATACTGGTTCCTATGAACAATTTGCAGTATCAGTTTTTTGGAGTCGATTCGCAAGGAGTTTTGTAATGATTTTCAAACAGCAGTTCTATAGTGTAATTGGCCTGTAGTCATTTGCTGTTTGAGGCGATCCAGCTTTTGAGATAAGAGTAATGAATCCCGAGTTGATGCTTTTCAGATCCAGGGTTCCATGGTAGAAGTCATCACATAGCTGATAGAAGTCATTTCTGACGATGTGCCAGCAGGTTTTCATAAAACATGCCATTGAACCCGTCCTGGCCAGGAGAGTGATCATCAGGCATTTTTTTTACAACCTTGTCAATTTCCTCATGTGTGAAAGGTTCAGACAATGTTTCCAAACCATGTACCTTTTGGATTATGGATGGTAAATCAAATTTCATAGCCGGAGGGGATGATTCACCTAGACGCTGTTTAAAGGCTTGGAAAGGGACAGCCTTTTTGGCAGCATGATCATGCACTTCAGTGCCATCAGGGAGCTTGAGAGAAGCAATTTGAGTTTTTTCCGTACTGTTCAGTCGCCAAGGCTTGAAAAAGCTTGGTGTTCTCTTCTCCGAATTTAATCCATCGAATAGTGCAATGCTTCTTCCAGTAGGCGTTTTGGTTTTTCTTT